TTCTTCAGGGAAAGATCACAGAAGTTCCAGTGTCCCTTGCTTTCTGCACAGGCTTCCCCTACACATTTAAAAGGACACTCTCAGGCAGGTTTTGGACCAAGAAAAGTATGCTGTCTCTCTCCATGGTGCTTCCTGGCCGAGGCCCTCCCTAAGGAGGCTGTGTAGGGAAGGGAAGAACAAGTAGATGTCAACAGTAACCTTTCAGCTGTAATTTTGTGTCCATTTGCTAAAAAGGGCATTTCTCTCTTGGCAAAGCCATAGGGGCCAAGAGGGAAATAAACAGTTAAGAAGTGTGTGTGGAAAAGGTTATCCCTGTGAGGGTTCAATGAATACATACTGGCCAATTATAATAATTCCTAGTAGATTGTTACTTTTTATAATTGGAGCACTGAGGCAAATCTGCTTTTTAAGACACACAGGGGATGACCAGCACCGGGCAACTGCAGACAGGCTTTGTGGAGTAAGAGTGCCGGACTGGTCATCAGGAGAGAGGGCTGCTTTCAGTGCTGTCTGCACCTGACCAGGGACTCAGCTGTCTGGAGTCACCTTTCTAGTTCTCAGTGGTCCTGTCTGCTAGAATGGGGTTCAGTATGGACTGAATGTGTGCCCCTTCCTCACATTCAGCCTCCAGAACTGGGAGCAATAAATGTCTGTTATGTAAGCCACCCAGTCTATGGTATTTTGTTACGGCAGGTGAAGTAGATAAATATAGGTGATAATGACTAGCTAATTAAAATGACAGTGATTTACAGTTTACAGACTACTGGTAAAATTTTATCTCAGAGAAACTCTAGGAGACAGAAAGGGCAAAGTATTATTTCATAAATAAGAAAATACACTTCACACAGGTTCAAGATCACAAGGCTACCAAATGGAATTCAGTCAGAATAGAAACCTGGGTTTTTAAAGAAAAATTTGTTTATAAATGGTTGTGGTTTTCTTGTTTTCAGCATCATTATGTTGATGGCTATCAATTCTAGGTTTTAGATTTCCAGGCAGTGCCCAGTTAAACAGTGTCAAATTTATATCTATTTGTCTATCTATCTATCTATCTATCTATCTATCTATCTATCTATCTATCTATCTATCTATCATCACTCATCTGTCTTTAGAACTGTAATAACTATCTCCTTTGACCCAGTGGTTCTCAAAGTGTGGTCCAGCAGTGGGAGCTGAGGATGTAGAAATGGAAATTCTTGGGCCCCACCCCAGACCCAGTGGAAACTCTGGAGCTGGGACCCAGCACTCTGTGCTCTAACAAGCTGTCCAGGGGATTCTGAGGCTGCGAGCGTTGGAGATCCACTGCTCTCGTCTACGTTCACTTACTTGTTCCCCTTATAACTGGCTGACATTTGACATATTGCACTAAAGGATATGCAGCTGCAACTATCAGTCCTAAACCAACTCAATCCACAGCATACTGTTAAACCCATTTATGAAATGCTTGAACCTGTAAGTACAGCCTTCGTATAATAGCAACATTCTATAATTTTGTGTTGGCCTTTGTTACCTCCTCTGTCTACATGAAATTTTAAAACACTTTAGAAAATAAAGCTATTTGGGTCCAGCACATCGTAAACTGTGAATTAAGTTGACTTTAATTAAACACAGTAATTTAAAATATAATGAATTTATTATTTATTCAAAGTGGTTAATGTTTTTAATCCCACCCCTGAAATCTCAGTCACTTCAAAAGGAAATTCATGTGTACATGAAACCTATTCCTAAATCTATTAGTGAGGACATCAACACTAATCTAAGAATTTTCTGAAATGTTTTATATGCATCCCAAATAAATTTTGCCAATGACATTCCACCAAAAGAGAAGCATAACATTGCCATTTAACAATAAAACTAGACATTTCCAAGAGTACTTTTCTTATGTGGAAATAACACAGAAATAACCTTTTACCCTCTTGAATGTGGGCACCAGGAAGAACAAAAGGCACACACTCTGTGCTGCTTCTGTCATTAACTTGCCTATATAAGCCAAACAGTGGCTTTCTGTGGAAGTACAAGACTTGCAAATTAGCTGATAAAACGGTGTATAGCTTGCACAGCATTTGTGGGGTGACAGCTTCTGAATGACAGATTTAATGAGATTAGTAGACTTCTGCCCATTACAGCCTCCAACTATGCTTTTTAATCCTTAGATGTGCTTTTGGCACCATTTACTGAAAAGAGCTATTTGCAATTATATAAAGATTGACTTCCACACTTCTACCATCTTTCTGAAAAGTTAGGGAAAATAAACTGAACATAGAGATTGCTCCCCAAATAGTGTGTGTGTATATATATTATTTATATGTATAAATAATACATAATATATAATATATAAATACATAAATATGTAAATAATATATGTATTCTACAAGACGAAACAATATTAAACATGTATTTTACACACATACCTTTAATACTGATCTCTTAAACTCAGGGAGGATTTTTTTGTAGAATTATAAAGGCTAATTAGAATGTCTAACCAAATATTTTACTTACAGGTATCAACATTGTCATTGTCCGACCTAGGATTTACTCATGATGTGGACACTAAATAAACCGCCCCGCAAAGAAAAACCTGCTCTGATAGCCAACAGCAAACACTAATGCCAAGTCATATTCATAATTAATAACCTTCTAAAAATATATCATTTTATTGATTTTTTAGAGAGAGAGAAAGGGAGAGAGAGATAGAAACATTAATGTGAGAAACATTGATGGTCTGCCTCCTGCACGCCCCCTACTGGGGATCGAACCCGAATGTGCCCTGACTGGGCGACGAATTGGGACCTCTCAGTCCATCGGATTGGGACCTCTCAGTCCATCGGACAATGCTCCATCCACTGAGCCACACCAGCTGGGCACAATTACTCATTCTTTTTTTTTTTTTTTTGGTTCAGCTAGAGTGGGAGAGAGAGAGGGAGAGGAATAGAGACCCAGAAACATCGTGAAAGGGACACATCGAGTGGCTGCCTCCCACACGGCGCTGACCCAACCAGACAAACTGCAACGGAGGTACTGCCCTTAGTGGGAATCAAACCCGGGTCTCTGGACCGCCAGTTGATTCTCTAACTGCTGAGCCAAACCGGCCAGGGCCAATTACTCATCTTTTGAAATATGTTTGACATAAATGGTTCAGCAAAGCTGGGTCACTGCCATCTGGAGGCAATGGGTACAATGGCACTGGAGGGAATGCGGTAACTACATAGGGAAACAGTGACTGGACCAATAAAACTCTCCCAAACTCTCCCTCATTTGATTCAGGTATAGAAAGTGTTATTTTCTGAAGAAGGAGTAAAGTAGGTTTTCTCTCTCTCACTCTCTCTCTCTCATTTTTAAAAAGATTGCTTAACAGTTAATAAAATGCATTTAGGCAGGCCCAACCAACATGTAAATTTATGAAAGGTACCATGAGATAAAAAGAACCATGACTCCCTTGGGCTTCCCACTCTAAACATCTCAAATTCAGTTAAAACAAAAAGAAACTTTAGGAAACAAAGAAACAAAAGAAAATGGAGAAAAAGGCAGCTTTGGGGTAGGATGAAACTACAGAAAAGAGTAATAATTTACCTTCTACATGATTAAGAAAGAAATTACATAATAACTTTTTATTTTAATAGAGAATGTATAGGCATGAGCATGCTCGTGGTATACTGAATTGCATTCTACTAGTGCATTCAGCAGGCGGGGCCAATCCTTTGATCAAAATGCCAGTCTACAGACAGGATCTGTGGGGGATGGAGATGGCAGGTCCCAAGTAATAATTCTGGTAGAGTTAAAACTAGAGCTAACAGCCAGTGGAGCACTCGGGCTCCAGCTCCACTAATTACCTAAACTGACAATGTGGCACCAAGTAGAAATACAGACCAAACACTCTCCACCCGTGTTTACTCAGGAGCTAGAGAGTGAAGATAGGGCAAGAAAAACGCGGAGGTGGTTTATGGAGAAGCTTTGTTTGGCTAGTTTTTCCTAGAAGATCACTTCAGTTACTGCAATTATTCCTGGTCTAACAAGCAAGTCTGTAAGTACCTGTTTCTGGTTGCTATTTTCTGGTGGTCATCCCTCTGCCACTCCCCTCCCCCAGAAATACACACAATTGCTCCTTCAATGCAATCACCACAATGCAAAACAAAATGCACGATTAGGAAATTGTCCAAATTCAACTGGCCTTTCTGTAGCTTGCTGTCTTTCTAACCTCTTCATCTGCTCAGGTTCCTTTGAATTATTTCTTTATCTCCACCTGAGTTCACATCACCCTAAGGATCAGTGCCACTTACACATTAAATGCATGTGCAGTTAGCTTGTCTCCCCAATAATTAACAAAGATGTTAAGGGCTAAAGCCAATTCAGTGGCATGGCTGGATACTTTCCATTGCCTGGTGTGTCATTGTTTATGGTCTATTAAGCAGTTCTCATTTCACCTTATGGGCCCATATAAAACCCAAACTAGTTGTTTCTCAAATTATAGGCAGTATTACAGATATTAGATAGCTTCTTTTTGTTTTTTAAACATCATCTCTAAATTTACTGAAGACTAGCCGAGAAAGTAAATTGAGCAATTATATATATTTTAAACTACTTAGTTTTTTAGTCTTTTATCTCCTTTTCCCTAAATCATATTCATTGTTTTATACTAATGGTAGCATTTCTCATTTTCAAAATGATATACTTTCTGGTTCTTGTTTAAATCTATTTTTCTACCCAAATTATTATTGTTGTTTGGATTCAATTGTCAAGTGGGGCTTTTAATTTTCCAAACGTTCTCTTGTCTTGTTCTGCTGTATTTTTCATCATTCTTACATGCAGAACATACATGCTGACATGCAAAAGTCAGTGGAGGAGAGGCATCATAGGGGGAGGATTAGTTGCTCTCAAAATCTATCTTGTTATGCAGGCTTCTGCTAGGCAGGCCTCCCTTAGACAAGCCTGAGTGCTCAAGGGCTTCAGGTGTCAAAACTCTACAGTGAAACAGGAGAAAATGTACAGAAGCATTCACTTACCTGCTTTTGATCAACAATTATTTCGAGGTCTTCATCACTGCTTAGTTTTCCATATCCTTTTTCTTTACTTTTCTTGTGAAAGAATAATTTTAAATGATCATTTAGTTTCTTTCCATTAATAATCTTAATTCCCACTTAATACTTTTAAAAGATAAAGTTTACTTAGCCTTGTTCACTCATCATAATAATCATTCTTTATGTCAGTCTCATGGACAATAGCAAATGTTTTTATTGTTATGCTGTTGGTTTATAATTATTCATTAAGTATTTTTTGCTTAGCATCTTCCATACAAATTATATCTTGAATCTTCTCTTAATATTGTTATGCTTCTTTTTTCAATTCTATAGTTTTAGAAAAGACTCTTTAGTATTTTAACATAAGTAATTCCTTCAAGAGTCTCAGCACATTTTTCTTAAAGGTCAAAACTGCATTTAGTAATACTAGGCTTAAGACTTCAACTATTAAATGTGTCATTTTAATCCCTTATATATTTTTAAGAATAAGACAAATATTATGCAACTCAGATAACAAATCTTTAGATTTTTTACATTTGCTTATAAATCAGATAAAAACTAACATTGTAAAAACAACTCAGAAATAATTTCAAAAAGATAAATAAAATAATTTTCACAATTAGTTTGAAAAGTTAGAGGAGTACAGACCATTTTTAAAATGACTTTATTGGTATTTTGGCATTTTCCCTCCAATGACCATTCTCAATCTACCTACCTCATAGAAAAAATTTTAACATTGGAAAGGACATAGATCATGACAACCATTTTACTGTTGTGCTTATAGGAGAAAGACAGTTTATCTGAGTCTTTTCTTTCTTTCTCCCAATGCACTGGCTGATAGGAATGCCAGAAATGACATGTTTCTTCATAATTTCAGGAATCAAAGTACCTCTGTAGAGGACCAGTAACAGAAGGAAAAAATAATAATAATCACTATACAGTTAGTTGCAGTTCAAGGTGAATATTTTTTAAAAACAATTATTTCTTTAGGTATTAGCTACATCAACTAGAATTAAGGGAATTAAAAATATTTCTTATGTTTACACCTACTGTGCCATATTAGAATCCCCATCTCATTGGGGAAAAATAACTCCTGTATATCCTTCAGGGAACATGACACAAGTCTGTTTACACTGCAGGACATGATTCTTGTATCCTCCCCACCCCCCATAACATTTCAAAACCAGATTTCCACTTTTCCTCCCCAATAAACATACCTACTATTTTCATGTGTTTTTAAAATTGTTCTGTAATAAAGAGATTTCTGAATCTTCAAGTATTAGGATGCATAAACAAAGTCTCATTCATATATTAATGAATTTAGCCACTTAGAACAGAAGAGACGGCCACAGTATTTCTCTCAATTGTTATTCTTGCCTTCATTTGAGGTTCCATTTCAGGATTAATGGAAAACAAAAAGAACAAGGGTGGTTTCAATCAAGCTGAGTTTCTTCCTATCACTTTGCTTTTGTATCCTTTTAGTCCACTGGTTGCCATAGGATATTGTCCAGAGACCCTCTAATGCAAAACATTTAGAAATGCCTTTCCAAATATTGATCTGTATACGTACCAAGTAGCTCATTTGCATGGCTCGATTTCTGGACAAAAGGACATTAAGTAGAGATGGAATATGGGTCCTTCCATCCATTGCACTGTTGGACATCCCAGAATCCTTTGCACCAGCGGCAGTGGCTTCATTGCCAGAACTCTCTGACCAGAGAACCACAGATCTTGCCCAGCAACAGCATTTATAATATATGACAATAACTGAAGTATCCCTGAATCATTGTCTTGACTTTGTAAACATTGTGAAAATTTAGGCTAGCACAGAAAGTCATTGAAACAAAATTTTCTTATTTTCTAACTAATTTTTACCCAAGCACTATGTTCCCTGACTGCTATTTTAGTTTAATGTTTTGTTTTGTTTTAAAAAAAACACCTATTATTAATTAGTTTTATATTTCATCCCACACATACGGACTACTCAGCCTCTTTATCATACAAGCTCTCAGCTTTCCCTTTTTAATGCTCCACCCCAGACTTTCTTGTGATTAGCAAATCACTGCTATTTGATATAAAAATGTCAGCATTCATAAAACATAATTCAAGGTCACAATTTCTGCCAATACCAAACTCCACCTTTCCAATTTAACCCCAAATCTTTATCTGATACAGCAGTACATTTTCCTGGGAAGAGGCTAGATCAGGGAAGGAGATTACAGCCCCAAGTACTACAAGTAGAAGTTGGCATTTTCCAAAAGTGGGAGGAGGAATTTAGAGCTCTGTTCTGTACTTAAACCCCCAGTCTCCAAACAGTACGCAACTGTACAGTCAGAATTCTTACAGTTTTACTCCAGAGTTAAGCCATCTTTTCAAGTTCACCCCATCACCCCAGGGGGAGTAAGCCTTTGCTAAGCCAGGATGGTTATTCGCTCACTTACTGCTTATTTCTAGTGCGAGCATAATCCTCTCTGGAGCGAGCGCTCAGCTCCCACTTGGACTGCTTACACCAGCCCGCCCAGGCGGGATCTTCAGCTCTCCTCCCTCCTCCCAGCCGGGAATCCCTGGCTTCTATCTGTGCACTTTAGTCAAGCACTAAAAAGCAACTCCATAGCTCCTGCGTGGTCTTTCACATTAGCCAAAGGACTGAACAGGAGGAAGAAAGCTAACCTCTCCACTGCCCAAGCTGAGGAGGCAGGGCTTCTGTGGGAGGAGAAGCCAGAGGGTAATCACTTCCTGTGCTCCTCCCCCCGCCGGCGGACACGAGCTGAGGATTTCCACTGAGGCCCTGAGGGTAGCTGCCCCTGCCCCCTCAGCCTCAGCAGGCTGCCTGCTTGCAGCTGATTTTGTGCACTGCTCACCTAAGTGCAGGTGAGGGAACGCCAGTGCAGTGGAGCTAGAAACGATGGAGACTTTGAGGTGGGAAAAATAAAGAGAGAGACAAAGGAAAACAGTCCTCATTTGCTGACAGTGCCTCATTCCCTGTAAGAAGCTTTCAGCTGAAGATAAGTGTCCCATGTCTGAAAACAGTATCTCTCATCTTCCCTACACCACTCTAAATCCTTTCTGAGTAACTGGAAGGACCACCTAGTTCTTTCCTAGTACTGATCACTTTTTAAAACCCCTGAATCGTATCCGTAGTTTTCTTAAGAACATTGACCTAACTGCTACCCTGTTCTCTCTGCAGACTTTCCGCCATCTCTCCTACCTCTTGCTTCCCACCCCATCACGCTCTCCTCCACAAAAGTGGAATGCAGAGGTAGGTTTATTCACGTGAATTAAATAAACCATAAAACTTGGAAACTGTATAGAAAAGCAATATATGGTCGCAGACCTAGAATGTATTAAATAAGACAATTTTGCAAGTGATAGCAAAACAACAACAAAACCTAATGGGATAGAGACCCGAAAAATGAAGCACCCTATATTCAATTTTAGAATAAGATTTTATTAAAAAGTAACAGTATTAATTGAAAGATACTAGTCTAGTCGTGTCTGGGTTGAATGAAAAGGATCTGTCATACTCATTAGGAATGGAATACATGAAGGAAAATTTAAAGGGAAAAAGGAACAGGTGATTTTGTTAATTGTACCAATCAGCCTGAATTGCAATTTTTGCCTAACTACAGGTGTCAAAATAAATGTAAAGGTTAGCCCTGGCCGGTGGCTCAATGGTTAGAGCATGGCCTGTGGAGCAGAGTCACGGGTTTGATTCTGGTCAAGGGCACCTATCTCGGTTGTGGTTTGGTCCTTGCCCTGGTCAGGGTCGTGCTGGAGGCAACTAGTTGATGCGTCCCTCTCACCTTGATGTTTCTCTCCCCCTCCCTCCTACCCTATCTGAAGGTAAATGGAAAAAATATCCTCAGGTGAGGTTTAAAAAAAAAAAGGTTAAAGATTACATGTAAATAGTTAAAAATTTACTATTATTTATTCAATACGGCAATGAATGATAAATAGTAGACCTAAATGTATTAAAGCAAATGTTACATGGCGACTATGTACACAAAAGGACAGAGACCTCCCTACTCTCTTCTTCCTGGTTGTCAGCACTCGGCTCCTGTCTTCTCATTCTCCCTGTCCTTAATCCCTCTATCACCTTCGTCCTGCAGGCTGCAACATTGCTAGTTTCCCCTGCCCTGGAAGATGACTTCCTCACCCTGCTTTCCCTAAAGCAGCGATTTTCCACCTTTTTCATCTATGGCACACACACACTAATTACTAAAATTCTTCAGCACACCAGAAATATATTTTTTTGCTGATTTGACAGAAAATAGGTATAATTTTGATTCATTTACACCAAAGGTCTATTGTTGTGTTGGCTGCTGTCATTTTTTAAATTTGACTATCCAAGAGAAAAGAGGCCAGTGACCCTGACTAAATAGTTTAATAACTTAAATAATTTCAAAAATTATTGTGGCACAAAGGGGGAGGCAATGGGGAACATCTGTAATAGTGTCAACAATTAAAAAAGTAATTCTTTCGGCACACCAGTGTGCTTGCCTTTGGTTGAAAATTGCTGCCCTAAAGGCATTCATTTAATCTCTCATCTGTGAAACTTGAAAGAATAGTTGGTCCTTAAAAGCTAGCAAGTTTCTCTTTCCTCCTCACTTTGACACTAATCACAATCAGGTTGCAATCGGCTGTAATTGCATTCTTTTGTTTTTTATTTAAAAAAATTTTTTTTATCCTCACCTGGGGACAGTTTTGATATTTTGTTCAGATAGAGTGGGAGGGGGAGAGAGAGAAAGAGAGAGAGAAACATCGACGTGAAAGGGACACATCAAGTGGTTGCCACCCGCAGGACCCAAATAGGGCCGGGGACAAACCGCAACTGAGGTTCGCGCCCTTAGTGGGAACCGAACCTGGGTCTCTCTGGACCGCAGGCAGACACTCTAACCGCTGAGCCAAACGGGCCAGGGCTGTAATTGCATTCTTGATAATTGCCAATGGACTCCTAATTATCAAATCCTTTAGCAGTCCTCTTTTAGAGCTTAGCCCCAAATGCAAATTGTGAGTGATGACAGATGTCAAAATAAATGCAAATATTATTTCTTTCAGTGGTCAACATTGTATGAGTATTTTAAAAAATGTCTTTAGCCCTGGTCAGTTTGGCTCAGCGGTAGAGCGTCGGCCCACGGACCAGAGAGTCCTGGGTTTGGTTCCCGCTAAGGGCACGAACCTCGGTGGCAGTTTGTCCCTGGCCCTGGTTGGGGTTGTGTGGGTGGCAACCACTCGATGTGTCTCTCTCATATCGATGTTTCTCTCTCTTCCCCCCTCTCTCCTTCCTGCTCTATCTGAAGATAAATGCAAAAATGTCCTCAGGTGAGGATTAAAAAAAAAAAAAGCCTTTACTGTTATTTACATGATTGCAGCTATTCAGTGGTGAGAGGGAGGAGGGGTTGGGACAGGAGAGGAGGTGCTGAGGAGGCACTTGCTGAGCTTGTGGTGTCTTTGGAAAGTTCATCCCCGTGGAAGGAACCAGTCGATCATTTGGAAAGATTGGTCTATATCTTGGAAGAGAGATAGGGCAGGACATATGGTTTGCTAGGGATAACAAAAATTGCAGACGTGGATGAGCTCATTAAAGAAGAAAACAGTCAAAGAGATGAGGACTGAGGCCGGAGTCCTGGAGAAGGTTACATGTAAAGAATGGGCCAGAGAAGAAGCCCGTGCAGGAGGCGGAACAGGAGTGGTGACTGGCGTAGGAGGACTGGGAGAGTGCGGTGAAGGGAAGAAGTTCCAGGTGGTGTCAGATGCGGATGAAAGGTTAAGGGAGGGTGTGAACAGCAACTTACATTCTGTTTGGCATTTTGGAAGGCATCAGGGAGTAGGAACAGAAGATTCATGAAGATGGAAGCAAGATTAGAGTACATTAACGAATACAGTGGCAGTAAGGGAGTCGGATAGAGAGAGAGAGAACTTAGTTCCTCTTAGGAAAACTTGAACAAAAAGAGGGAACTATGTCAAGATGGTAGATCTCAGGTTAAGTGTTATTTCCACAGTTACAAAAGGAAAAAGACGGAGCAAGAGTGGTAGTGGAAAGGTATTGAGTATGTTTATAGTTCAAGAAACTGGTAGAGAAAGTAAAAATGTAGATACCAGAGGGTAAGGGGAGATAATTCATGAAGCAAAAAAGTATGAACAAAGTCCTTTGGGAGAAAAACTGCATGTCTCTCTGTTAAAATGTACAATTAAGTGATACATATTTATAGAACAAAAATCTGGAAGGATATATACCAAATATTAAAAGTCCTTTCCTCTGGGAAATGGAATTATGCATGGTCTATGTGTTCTCTTTATACCTGGGAGTACTCTTTGAAATAAGAATAAATCCCTTTTATAATAAAAAAGTAAACAAAATGTGATTGCTGGAGAAATCCATAAAATTGCCATGGAAAAGACTCGTTTGAAATCTACTTTGCAGAAAAATGGCTGGGTCAGAACTTTGGCCTCCCTTTATTATGTTTCTGGAGGAATAAAAGGTTTTTTTTTTTTAAAAAAAAAGTAGAGATTCATGTTACAGTTATTGCTTATGCCCCTTGTGGAAAGTGTGTTAGGATGGTGGAGTGAATGTTTTGTTTATTGCATTTAATATGCCCCTTTCCTCTCGACTCTCCCTTATAATATTAAGCTTCTCAGTTCTTTGATATCACATCATTTTGGACCCACATCTCCCCCCCTCTTTTTAATATGCACAGTATCAGCATGGGCACCGAAGCCACTGCTGTAGGAGC